AAGAACACCACTCATATGGGATGCCAGCCACAGGCGAAAGCTTAACCTACACAATGCCAATCCCACACATCAATCTTTTTTTTAAAGATTTATTTATTTTTATTGCAAACTTTGATATACAAAGAGAAGGAGAGACAGAGAGGAAGATCTTCCATCCAATGACTCACTCCCCAAATGAGCGCAACCACCAGAGCTAAGCTATCTGATGCAGGAGCCAGGAACTTCCTTCTGGGTCCCCCAGGCGAGTACAGAGTCCCCAGGCTTTGGGCCGTCCTCGACTGCTTTCCCAGGCCACAATCAGGGAGCTGGAAGGGAAGCAGGGCTGCTGGGATTAGAACCTGTGCCCATATGGGAATCCAACATAATCAAGGCGAGGACCTTAACCACTACGCCACCACGCTGGGCCCCACATACATCAATCTTAAAAGCAATTTTAAAAAATTGCCCACCAAACTCTGTGCACCCACCAACTGCATTTGCATAGGAAACCAAGAACCTGACTCCTAACTTCGAATCGGTGCAGCACCGGCCATTGTGCTCACTTTGGGAGTGAATCGTCGGATGGGAGATCTTCCTCTCTGTCTCTTCTCCTCTCTGTATATCTAACTTTGCAATAAAAATAAATAAATCTTAAAAAAAAAACAAATATATCTTTCAGAAAAAAATCATTCCTCAAAAAAAAAAAAAAATCATTCCTCAGAAATAAAATTACCTACCACAGCCAGGTCAGCGAACAGGCTATAATTCCACCCATCTCTCCCAAGTGGGCAGCAGGCACCCGAGGACTTGACCCACCATCCCCTGGTGTTTCTGGGGAAGTGGAGCTGGCACCCAAGGCTGGGCACTGCAGCACGGAATGCAGGCATCCCGAGGCCCATTTTCTCCGCTGTGCCAAATGCCCACCCTTTTCCATGACCTTGATGCAGCCTTTCCTGTATCTGTCCTCAATCCAGTATAGTCAGGTGGCATGACCCAACCCCCGCAATGCTAAGGGTTAGGATTTGATCGGTGACCTCAGTGACAGGTCAGGTACAGGACCTGGTGTGGCGGATGAGAGTCAGCTGCTGCCCTCTCCTGGAAGAATGACTAACTGCGGAGGGGTTAGCTTGGAGCCACGGCTCTCTGCCCCGCCCCCCCGACTCCAAGGATAGAAGCACGGAGACAGTTCCTGGTGGGATCTCCAGGCTGCCAAACGCAACCATGCCTGCAGCCTCCGGCCTCTTCAATTACACGGCCCAGTAAGCTCCCTGCTTCGCTTCCACCTAGTCACAGTGCCAAGAATCCCAGAAAGCACCTGCCTGTGCTGCTTGGAAGTTATAGCAGCATTCCTAGGCCACTGCGGGATGACCCTCCAAAAACAAAAGGGGCAAGGGGATCATACCACAGACGCCTAAAAGAATCGATCAAATACGCAAGGGCCTTACCTTCCCCAGCTCTCTTGAGGCCGGGCGGAGCTCAGAATAGGCTTCAGCGATGGTGGTGGCCCTAGAGAAGGGAGAGGGGGTGGCCTTCTGCAGTGAGCCCTCCTCCTCCCACCCCTCCCCCAGCTCTCCCCATTCCACACCCCCCACTCACTTGCAAGCCAGCCCTCCCCCAGGAGGCAGATCTGGTATGTGCTCTGAAGCCATGGTTCTGAATATGGCGTTGAGGGTAGGGGGCTCCTGAGTGGCACACAGTTCTGTGAAGAAGGCAAGGGTTGGGGGGATGGAGTGGTAAGACCCTGCTCTCCGACTACCCATGGAGTCGGACTCCCTGAAGCGCCCACTCACCTGCGACCCTGCGGCGCAGGGCTGCATCCAAGGCCAGCTCCCTCCTAGCGGCCTCCTCCGTAGGCCTGGGGGCCCCCGGAAAGCAGACCAAGATGCAAGTCATATTGTCCAGGCTGCCCTACAGAGGAAGGAGAAAAGGGAGCCCCATGGGAGAGCAAGATGGAGGCCGAATTCCCCAACAATCCCGGAGCCCAGGGATCCCCTTCTTAATCCAGGCCATAAGACCCCATCCCTTAGACCATGCCCCTTCAAGTCCAAGCCCCGACCTAATGGGAGGATGACCACGCCTTTTTGCTGAGGCTCTCACCAGTGCGTAGTTGACCTGCCAACCCTGTCCAGCACTGCCCTCTCCGTGAGACCAGGGTCTTTCTCTTAGGCCCCTTCCACGCGTCTGCCTAGCCTCTCTACTCTCCCGCGAGGTCTCACAGCATCGCTAGGGATCCAGCAAGCTGACCTGGCTGTGTCCTCGCCTCCTGGTCTAGGGACGCGCTGGACCCCACTTGGCCCCCACGCCCTGTCCCCAGCACCTTGCACAGGCACGTGTCCAACACCTGCGCGCAGAGAAGCTCTGGGGCCAGGCCCAGGCGGAGGCGCGACGCCACTAACTCGGACAGAGCCGTGCCAGACACCGCGTCCCAAACGCCATCCGAGGCCAAGAGCACGAACTCATCCTGGGCTTGGCGTTCCAGGGCGGCCACCTCGGGCTCCGCCGACACTAGCTGCTGCTCGGGAGGGCGTCCCCGCGCCTCCTTGAAGGCAAAGTCCCCCAATGCTCGCGACACGGCCAGAGAACCCTGGACTCGCCGGCCGCGGATGGTGCCACCTGCATCGTGGATGCGCTCTCGTTCTCGGGGCCGGAGAGGTTGGTGGTCCTCGGTGCTGAAGGCCATGGTGCCGGCCCGGCGCAGCACGGCACGCGAGTCCCCGCAGTGTGCCAGGTACAGGAAAGTCGGGGACACGAGCAACGCCAAGGCTGTGGAGCCTCCGGGCTCACCGCGGGGCCAGAGTGCACGCAGGCGCTCGTCGGCGCGCAGGAAGGCGCAGCGCAGCGCGGCACGGACACCCTGGGGCTCGCGGGGCTCCGGACCCAGCGCCTCGAGCACGTGGGCCGGCAGGCGGCGAGCGCAGAAGCGGGCAGCCCGTGCCCCGCCGTGGCCGTCGAAGACGGCGAAGAGTGCCCATCCTGAGGGCAGCCCGGGTAACTCCAGGCGAGCACAGTGCGCGTCCTCCATGCGCGCGCGCCAGCCTTGCACCGCACTGGCGCCGAAGCGCAGGTCTCCCGACGCTCCCCCGTGCGGCCACTGCACGCACCGCGGGACGGCCAGCAAAGACGGACACTCGCCTGGGGCCGGGCACCCCTCTTTCTCCTCCTTCTCCTCCTCTTCCTCGCTGTTTGGCCGGAGGATACGCTCCAGCAAGCGGGCCAAGGCCGCCATCCTGTGGCCTATGAATCGGGAAGGCTCCGCCCTCCGCTGCCCTCCTCCCTCCTCCCAATTAATTCCCTCCGAGGTGAGACGTTAAACCAGCTAAATCCCGTTTCTATTCCTGGACCTGTAGGTGGAATGGGGTCGCACCGCCGAGGTCGGGCTTAGGGTCTCGGAGGGCAGACGTGGATAACTAGCACTTGAGCAAACATCACGCACGGCTCACCTCACTTCTCCAATTTATGGAGGGGAAATTGAGGGAGAAGTGTGAGCGTCCGTGGCCAGGGTCCCGGCCCAAGCTCCGCCCACGCAGTGAGGGTGCCCTGGCCCCTCCACCCCTGCGCCCTGCGGCCTGTCAGGTGCTTTTTATTTTCCCAGCCCTGCCCACCCACCGACCAAGCCCGCAGCCTCACACTTGTCATCCTTGTCGCTGTCTGAGCGCAGCCTGTAGTAAGCGGACAGAATTCCAGCTCTTGTCCCCAAACCCTGGCCTGTGGAAACCGGCCTATTTTCTCTCCAGGTTCTGAGAAGGCCCCCAACCTGACCAGCTAGTTCTCATTTCCTCTCGCCATGCCTCCAGAACTCCGATCCTGCCCGTTTATCAGAATAATCCTAATTTGTTTGAGGCCCAACCCTGTGTCTTAACTTTTCAGAACTCAGAAAGTTTCTTGGGCCTGGTGCGGTTGCCTAGAAGCTAAAGACCTCACATTGCATGTGCCAGAATCCTATATGGGCACCAGTTCTAATCCCAGCAGCTCCGCTTCCCATCCAGCTCCCTGCTTGTGGCCTGGGAAAGCAGTCAAGGACAGCCCAAAGCCTTGGGACCCTACACCCACGTGGGAGATCTGGAAGAAACTCCTGGCTCCTGGCTTTGGATCAGCTCAGATCTGGCTGTTGATACTTGGCTCATTCTCTTTGTAACTTTGCCTTTCCAGTAAAAATAAATAAATATTTTTTTTTAAAAATGAGGGGCTCAACGTGGTAGCCTAGTGGCTAAAGTCTTCGTCTTCCATGCTCCAGGAGACCTAGAGGAGGCTCCTGGTTCCTGGCTTTGGATCAGCTCAGATCCGTGAACCAGGGGACAGATCTTTCTCTGTCTCTTCTTCTCTGTAAATCTGTTTCCAATAAAAATAAATAAATAAATCCCAAATAAATGTTTCTTCGTGGTCTCTTTCCACTCCATCTGGGCTTGGGCCAGCTCAGAGCTTCCAGAATATTTCTGTTTCTGCCTCCCCCCTGCCATCCCTAGCCCTGCTCCAGCTCAGCCCAGATACCCACACCCCATCCGCTCTCAGACTCTCTTTTTCCTCCGTCCTCTTCCCCTAACGGCGCCGCCCCTTCTGTGCAGACCCCAGACCCGCTGGCCCCGCCACGCCCCCTAGCTCTACAGCTAGCCCCGCCCCGGAGGGCGTGTCCCGCTGGGCCACGCCCGTCCGCTGGTTAACCACTCCGTCCTAGCCCTGTAGGCTAACCTCGCTGGCCCCGCCCCTAGCTAGCTCTTTAGACTAGCCCCGCCCCGAGGGCGTGGTCCCACCATGGCCCTCCCCTCCTCTTCGCCTTGCGGGCTACCTCGCTGGCCCCGCCCCGGGGGCGTGGTCCGGCCGGCCCCGCCCCCTCGCGCCGCAGTGCCGGCCCCGCCCGCCCGGCCGAGCCGTGCAGAGGGCGGCGGCGGCGGCGGGAGCGGCCCGGGAGGAGGCGGCGAGGATGGCGGCGTCGTGGGCGCGGCGGAGATGAGCGCCGGCGGCCCCGGGCCCAGGGCGGCGCGGCCGGAGTGGGCGGGGGTCCCGATGCAGGCCCGAGGGGGGCCATGGGGCAGGTCCTGCCTGTCTTCGCCCACTGCAGTGAGTACCAGGAGGCTCGGGCCTGCTGGTGGAGAGGCCGGCGCCGGGGGTCCTGGGGTACCCCGCCTGGGGCGCCCCGCCGATGCAGAACCGGGAGCAGGAGGCGGTGGAGACAAAGGAAGGCCTCCCCTCCCCCCGCGATCCCGCGGCCTCCGGGGGGGATGGAGGGGAGCAGCCTGACCTGCAGGACCCCGGGCGGAGCTGGACCCGAATGAGGGGCGCCCCGGGATGGGTCGCGCGGGTCGCTGGGAGGGGTCGGGCCCCTCCCCAGGGCGAGGCCGCGGGCGGGAGCTGTCCCCTGGCCCTGGTGCTGGCCGCAGCCGGCGGCGAATGTGCTTGCTTGGATGCGATGCTGACAGCCAGGATGGAGAGGAGGGGATCTATCTCCCCAATGGCCCACCCGTCTCCACATCCCACCTCCGTTTTCTGCTCGACCTGGCCCAGCCCCTGTTGTCCCTCTGGGTGATGGCCAGGACTCGCCAGTCGTCAGCGGGCTCTGCCACTGCTTAGTAGTAACTGCCCTGCTGTTGGCCTCCGACTCCCAGAGCTGGGGCGAAGGGTGGCGGGTTTGCAGCGGTGTGGAACCTCTGTTGGGTGTGGAGCACCTGGCTGGTTCCGGGGGGCCCGGGGTTCCCAGCTGAGCATGCCCTGGGTCTCTGAGCCCAGGGCTTCGGGCACCATTCTCTGTCCCTGCCCCACATGGTGGCTGGCTCCCACGGCTGTGTTTCAACGCTTTGCCTGAATGGAGCGTACAGAAACCACGATGGGAGAAGGTGTGAGCTCAACCTCGTGGGGTGCCGTCCCAGCACCCCAGCACGTGAAGATCTTGCTTTGGCTTAGGAAGGGGGTACCCTGCCTCCACCCCCTCTCCGCTCTCATCTCCCCCTCCTCACTTACACCTGCGCACTGCAGGACGACTGTGCCTCACTTGCCTTGGGTCTCTGCTCCCACGGGCATCTTGGGGTGCACACCGCACCTCCAGGCTCTCCCTCTCTCGGCCCTGTCTGATGAGCCCCCATAGCACGTGTTTGTTGTCTTCCTTCTGCACATTTTCCGGAAGCCTCTGTGTGGTAAAGGTGCTGGGATAGAGCAGGTGGTCGGGGTGGAACCCCTTCCTCCTAAGATCCCTAATGGGAGGCCTCTAAGGTTTCTGAACTTCAACTTCTGAGCTGCCCGCCTGCCCTATGGTGGACCACGTGTCCCAAGATGCCAGCACTGGCTCAGACAGTCCAGACTTTTCTTCTAAGAATCTTCCATCTTTAAAGATTGATTTATTTATATTAGAAAGGCAGATTTATAGAGAGCAGGAGAGACAGAAAGATCTTGTGTGTGCCAGTTCATTCCCCCCAAATGGCTGCAATAGCCAGAGCTGAGCTGACCTGAAGCCAGGAGCCAGGAACTTTTTCCATGACTCCCACATGGATGTGCTGGTCCTAAGGCTTTGGGCCATCCTCCGCTGTGTTTCCAGACCACAAGCAGGGAGCTGGATGGGAAGTGAAGCAGCTGGGATACAAACTGGCACCCCAATGGGATGCTGGTGCAAGCAGAGTGAGGGTCACTCAACCAGTCATTGGGCCTGCCCCAAGTCTTCCACTCTTTCTCTTGCAGAGGAAGCCCCGTCCACAGCCTCCTCTACCCCGGACTCCACAGAGGGTAAGTGGGGTGGAGCTGGAAGGGGGCGCTGGGGGCCGCATCCCCCTCCGGCGAGCTCAGCCGCTCCCACCTGGGTCCTCGGCAGGAGGGAGCGAACACTCGGATTTCCGGGAGCTGCACACAGCCCGCGAGTTCTCCGACGAGGAGGAGGAGGAGACCACGTCGCAGGACTGGGGCACCCCCCGGGAGCTGACCTTTTCCTATATCGCCTTCGACGGCGTGGGGGGCTCCAGCGGCCGCCGCGACCCCACCGCCCGCCGCGCCCGCCCCCAGGGCCGCTCCATCTCGGAACCGCGAGACCCCCCTCCGCAGCTGGACCTGGGCGACAGCCTGGAGAGTATCCCCAGCCTCAGCCAGTCCCCAGAGCCCGGACGCCGCGGCCACCCCGACCCTGATCCTGCGTCCATCACCGCCGACCACCCCCTCGAGGAGGACCTGAGGCTGCGGCTACACCTGCTGGGCTGGGCTGCCGAGGAGGCCGGGGCTGGGGAGGACTCCTCCGCCACCAGCAGCTCCACGCCGCTGGAAGACGAGGAGCCAGGACGTGCAGCCGGAGTGGAGGCCGGAGAGCCTGGAGCAGGTGAGAGGGCTGAGGCCTGGGCTGGGGGTCTCCCCGCCTGGCCCCTCAGAGCTCACGGTTTTTCCTGTCTCTCTCCCACTGCAGAACTGGACGCACAACCCCGGCCTGCTCAGCCCTCACCGCCCAGGGTCCCGACTCCTCAGCCCAGCCCCCGGCCTGGGACCCCGCAGCCCGGCACCCCATCTCCACCCCGATCTCGAGATTCGAACTCGGGTCCTGAGGAGCCCTCGCTGGCCGAGGAGGAAGCCCCGTGGGGGCCCCTGGAGCGGGAGCCAATCACAAGACAGTGCCTCGATAGCACCGACCAATCCCAGTGTACTTGGGAGCCACGCCTTCTCGGTAAGCCAAGAGCTGGAGAAAAGTCCCCCCCCATTGGACACCGCGGGAGTTGGAAGGAGCCAATGGGGGGAAGGCAGGCGTGGGTTGCATCGGGACCGGCTCCGTTATCTGAGGTTGCCATTGGCTCTTGGTGCGTTAGTGCCCCGCCCACTGGAGGCGGATTGGCTGAGAGCGCTTGCAGCTTCGCCCCTCGCTGGGAGTGCGCCCCCTGGAGGCCGAGCGGGGCCGGTGCGGCCGCCCCTCCTGGGGCTGCACCTGCTGGCGGGTCGTAAACAGAGCAGCTCCGCCTCCGCGCCCCGCCGGGCCGGGTTACCCGGAGCTCCCAGCCCTGCGCTGTTTACAACTCGGCCTCCAAGTTTGGGCCTGGGGCCCCACCTCTGGGGACACCCATTGGCTGGGTCCAGGGGCGCCCCGCCCCTCAACTCTGCCTCCCGGATCCGCTGAAGGGGCAAAATCCCCGGAAAGGAGCCGGTACCCGGAGCCTCTTCCTCTGAGCCAAGATGTGCAGTCAAGGTGGGCTTTGGGGCATGAGGGGAGCCGGCCGGAGGGTTGGGGCATAGCAGAAAGGGGAGCGGTCCTGAATTCGCCCTTCCTCCCCTCCAACTCGGGGGGCAGCGGTGGTGTTTCCTAGTGATCTGGGGCGTCTGCAGAGCTGCGGGCTGGGGCTGGGGGTGCTCAGGGAAGGGGGAGGGAGGGCGAGCCTTGGAGCATTGGGGGTCCCCCTTGTGTCCTCTGCCCCAGGGCTTGTGGCCCCAGGAGCTGAGTGGGCCCCTCCCCCAGCCTGAGGCCCAGGCGAAGCTGTCAGCCCAGGGCTGGACAAGCCAGCACAGCTGCTGGCCAGGCCCCCTCCCCCCCAGCGTGCCTAAACTTAGACCCCGCCTCAGGCGACCCGGCCCCTCCTCCACCCTTGGGGAGCCTGCTGGGTGCTTCATGCATGGCAGGGGGCTCAGCCCCCTGTGTGGGGATCAGCATGGTAGGAGGGTTATTGGGGGCCAGGTCGGGGTGGGGTGCTGCAGACGGAGGAGCCAAAGCTTTGGGGTTTGGAAGTCCCTGGCCAGGGCTCTGGGGTGGTTGAGGAGATGCGTTTCAGATCTCAGCAAGGGGCCTTGGGTCTGAGTGAAGGCCCACCTTTCCCCAAGAGGCAGCCCCTAGACAAAGGGGGTCCCTGTGGTTGTAGCCCCTGGCAGGCTGACAAGTGAGCTCACCGGGGCAGGTTACTGGGAGGCGAGTGATGGTTCTGGTTTTGCTGCTGTAAATGAAGAAGGTGGCCACCTCATTACTGAGCAAGCTCACACCACGTGTGACGTGCCAAACCGGCGGCCAGCTCCTCTTGTCCAGGGATGTCCCTACTCTCCAGGGACTGATTCACTCCCAAACAGCAGCTCCAAGCAGTGGAAGGATGCTGTGTGTGACACTGCATGGGTCAAGGGCTTAGGGACTGGAGCGAGAAGGACCAGCCAGACATTGAGTCCAAAAAATAATCACAAAACAAATGACAACACAGCAGACAATGGAATAGCATGCAGGTCTTTTAAAAAAAAAATCACCAGGCTCCACTGCATTTAACGAAGGGGGAGCTGTGGGGAGAAAGTAGGGCGCAGTGTGCAAACATTCAGAAAGTGGGTATAGGCAGGTGCGTGTGGAAGTCTGTGGACAGATCTGTGCAGGTAGCTTCTGAGAGCTGCGTGAAGACTTGTGTTTGAATGGACACACCTTGTGCATACATGACCTGTGTGTGACATGTGTGTGACCCGTGACACATGTGGAGATGAATTGCACCTGTGACCTGCCTGTCCTAGTGGTGGCCAGGAAGTGCAGTGCCACCTGTGTGTGCACACACAGGACGAGGGGCAGGAAGGATGGGGTCTTCCAGATGGGCACCAGACAGAGAGGACGCTGGGACTTGGGAGAGCTGGATAATGGGAGGTCACTGCTGCCGCAGGCAGGTGACAGGCTGCCGCCCCCTCCCTCTCCACAGTGGCGGACCTGCTCTACTGGAAGGACACGCGGTGGTCGGGCGTGGTCTTCACGGGCCTCATGGTCTCCCTGCTCTGCCTCCTGCACTTCAGCATCGTGTCCGTGGCCGCGCACGTGGCTCTGCTGCTGCTGTGTGGCACCATCTCTCTCAGGGTTTACCGCAAAGTGCTGCAGGCTGTGCACCGGGGGGATGGCGCCAACCCCTTCCAGTGAGAGCCCCCTGCCACTCCCCCTCCCCACAGCCCAAAAGTGCAGTCCGTCCTCATCCTCTAACCGGGCTCCAGCCCTGACCTGAAGCCTGCTCTGCCTTCTGACTTCCCCACCACCCCCCCATCATCCTCACCTCTGTTCCATCTTTATCCCTGACCTTGACCCTATGTTGGCCCTCTGGCCTTCTCCCTGACCCCCATTTTCTGTGCTGGCTGCAGCATCCCCCCTCAACACACACACACACACACACACACACACACACACACACACACACACACACACACACACACCCTGCTCAGTCTGGGCCCCATGGTCCTTCTGAATGCCCCTCCCCTCTCCCCCTCTTCCCCATGTCCTCTCAGGGCATACCTGGATGTGGACTTGACCATGACCCGGGAGCAGACTGAGCGCCTGTCCCGGCACATCGCCTCCCACGTGGTCTCCACGGCCACGCAGCTGCGGCATTTCTTCCTTGTGGAAGACCTCGTGGACTCCCTCAAGGTGCCCCACCCCCTCCTGACTGCCCAGGTCCACCTGTATACCCCCCGGGTGTGTGAGTCGGGAGGGGGTGCCCCAGGCCGGAGGGGGTGGTTCATGGCTGACCCTGCACCCCCTCCCACCCCCAGCTGGCCCTCCTCTTTTACATCCTGACCTTCGTGGGCGCCGTCTTCAATGGTTTGACCCTTCTCATTCTGGGTGAGCTGGGAAGGCGGCCGGGTGGGGAGGCGGACGGCTGGGGTCTGGATGGGGGGAGCTGCAGGTGGGACTGTCCTGGGTGAGCCCTGACACTCCCCCCTCGCACGGCCGTGTCTCCTGCAGGCGTGATTGCGCTATTCACTGTGCCCCTACTCTACCGGCAGCACCAGGTGAGCGCTCCAAATCGTGCTGTGGGCACGTGTCCCGTGGCCGCTCCTCTTCTCCGTGGGGCTAATAGAGCCAAGTTACGGTGTCTGAGTGGCCAGAGGCCAGCATCCCGAACAGCAGATTGGCAGAGAGAAAGAGAAATAGCGAGAAAGATCTTCTATCTGCTGGTTCACTCCCAGTGTCCTCAGTGGCCGGAGTTGAGCCGATCTGAATCCAAGAGCTAGGAGCTTCTTCCAGGTCTCCCACACGGGTACAGGGTCCCAAGGCTTTGGGCCGTCCTCGACTGCTTTCCCAGGCCACAAGCAGGGAGCTGGATGGGAAGTGGAGCAGCCAGGATACACTGGCGCCCACATGGGGTCCTGTTGCTTGCAGATGGAGGATTAGCCAGTTGAGCCCACGCACCAGGCCCTCCACCTCTGTCTCCTCCCCTAGCCAGGGTCGGGCAAACCAATTGCCACCTTCCCCTAATCATCCGCAGACGGACAGATGAATACACGGAGCAGAGACTCGGGCCCTCGCCCCAGAGCGGCTCTCGCGGCTCTGTCCACGTGCGTGCGCACACCCCCAGACATGCACACCCCCAGCTCCCCTCCCACCGTGCCCAGGATGGGGACGCTGGGGCAGGCCCTGGCGTGGGCTGCCCTGAGGTCACTCTTGGCTCCCTGGAGGAGAAGACTGACTGTGAGCTGAGGGAGTAGGGAGATCCCCTCCGATCCTGTCTCTCTTCCCCCAGACCCAGATTGACCAGTACGTGGGGCTGGTGACCAATCAGTTGAGTAGCATCAAAGCCAAGTAAGTAGGTGGGGGACGGGGTGGGAGGCCTGGCACGTGCTTTCTGTCTGTACCCGCAGAGGGTGACTGGGTGGACAGGGCTGGCTCTATCGGCCTCCATCCCTCCTCTCCCACGGTTCTGGGGGTTGCCTGCCCCACGTCGGACGCCTCCCTTCCGCCTCTTCTGCAGGATCCGAGCCAAGATCCCAGGGACCACAGCCCTGGCCTCTGCCGCCGCCGCCGTCTCTGGATCCAAAGCCAAAGCCGAATGAGAGGGCTGCCTCTGCGCCCGCACGGGACGCCCGACCCCATCCCCGAGCAGCCCCCCACGGCCCCTCCATCTGCATCCCCAGCCCCTGCTGCCTCAGGCACTTCCCCTGGTGGGGGGTCAGGGTCACGCCCACCCAAAAGAACTCGCAATTCGTCTGAGCGGCTAGGACTACACTTCCCAAGAGGCTCTGCTGTCGGAGTCCAGGAGAGGCGAGGAGCTTTGGCCGCGGGGCCTGCTGGGACCTGTAGTTGCGAGTCATCCGTCAAGGCCTCGCTCTGCACTACTGCGACCCGCCGCTGGTGGCGCCGTGCAGGAAGGGGTGTCTTCCCCCGACAAGCCAAGGCAGAGGGTCCCCCCAAGGCTGGGGGTTTTGCATGGGGCCCAGGGGAGGCCTGAGCTTGGAGTTACACTTTAATAAAGACTCCTGTGGAAAAACCCACAGCCTCCTTCGGCTCTTTTTTTTTGGTAAGATTTATTTATTTTTTTATTGGAATGTCAGATATACAAAGAAGAGGGGAGACAGAGAGGAAGATCTTCTGTCCGCTGAGTCACTGCCCAGGTGGCCACCACAGCCAGAGCTGAGCTGATCCGAAGCCAGGAGCCAGGAACCTCTTCGAGGTCTCTCACATGGGTTCAGGGTCCCAAGGCTTTGGGCTGTCCTCCTCTGCTTTCCGAGGCCCCTAGCAGGGAGCTGGATGGGAAGCTGAGCAGCCAGGACATGAACTGGTGCCCATATGGCATCCCGAGTGTGCAAGGCGAGGACTTTAGCCACCAAGTTACTGTGCTTGGCCTGTCTGCCAAGATTATGAAGTGGTTGTGGAGAGCTCGCTGGGAGACCGCTCCACTCCAGGGCGAGGGCAGCCCTGCCATAGCTGTGCTCAAGGCAGGCCTCACTACGATTTCTTGCTCCACCTGCTGTGTGGCCATCTCCAAGCCTGAGACCCCTAAATGTGCCGGGCCCTACAATATATTTTTCAAAGAACTGTTACTCCTTGAAAGGATGCCGTGTTTTTTTTTTTTTTTTAATTTTGAAATTATTTTGACAATCTTTACATAGCTGATTAGGGCACAAAGGGTCAAGGGCTACAGGAAAGTGTGTAAGACCATTGTTTGCACGTTATTATTGTTGTTATTTTTTTCTGTATCTGGGGTAAGGGGAAAGAAAAAGGCAGAAGCCCCACCCTGCCTCCCACCCCGGAAGCTGTACTGAGCACCAGTAATCAACAAAAAACACAGAAATATGTACAGTTACAATGTTTGTTAGTGAATGCTCTGGCCTCACAGCCTGGAGACTGCAGGGCGGGAGTGGCTGAACCCCCAGGTCTCCCCATCTGGACTAGATTTTATGCTGTACGGCCTTGCGGCCTGGGCCGACCTCAGCGCGGCGTCCATCTCCTCTGGAGAGGTCAGTGGAGCCTGTCCCAGCACACAGCTGGGGAGACTGAGACCTGCAGAACAAGGACTCACCCCACCCACACAGGTGGACACCTGTTAAGTGTTCTTGGGTTCTTGGGTGCCAGGTGGTGGGGTGGCAGGGGGTGGGTTACAGGATCCACCCACGAGAACTGCAGGATCCGTGAATCTGTGGAGTGGAGTGCTCAGAATGGCATGTGGCAGGCCAGGTGATGGCGGGCTCAGGGGATAGGGTGACAGGCTTGCTATTTTAGACCTGGAATTGATAGCCAAGCAGAGGCTGAAGCCCAAGGAGTCAGGGAGCTACGGAGACAGGGCACTGAGCCCGTAGGAGGCTGCCACACACCCACCCTCTAGCTAGAGCCTCGAAGCACCTGCATCCTGGGAGCCAGCTGCAGGAGGGTGAGGCACCAAGGCAGAGAGAGACAGAGGGTTTGCACTCACTGGTCACCTTCCAAAATTGTCACTAAGTAGCTGAGGCTGGGCCTTAGAAGCAACAGGGACCCAAGCCCCGAGGCCCATCGACCTCTGCTTCCCAGGAAGCTGCAGTCCGATAAGCAGCTGGGGGCTTCGAGCCTGGACCCCCCTGAACCCCTTTAATGCGGCGGGGGTCTTCCAGAGGGGATGCCAAAGTTCTCCCCAGGGAATCGCCTGTTTTACAGGAACAGCTCTGGTCGTTAAGAGCTGATTGCTCCGGGCGCGTGGGCTGGAGGGCGTCCGATTTTCTGATTACAAAAACCCAGATGTGGCCAGCGAGGGTCCAAGTTGCAGGCCTGCCCTCCTGGACGTGGGACTAACACGCGTGGACGTGCCCGAGGTCCCTGCAGTTCTACGGAAGAAGCAGCAGGTGCCGCTGCAGCCCCATCGCCAGACGGGCATCGTCAGACTGCAAGAATCCAGACTTGTTCCTGGAAGCGCCTTCTGAAAGCCGAATGAGGAAGCCTTTCCTACTATTTAGAAAAAAAAAAAAAAAACCAAAAAAAAAAAAACCTGACTTTTTTCTTTTTGGAAAAAAAAAAAGTGTGGAGGGGACTCCTGGCCCTTTAATGAACAGCCAACTTTCAGAGCGCTGCTTCCCAGAATGCGCGGCGCTATGTAAATGAGACTGTTTCTAGAATAAGGATAATTCAGACTGTATCCAGAAAACAGAGCGATTCGAAATGGCATGCGTGGTGGTGCAAAAAGGACAGAATTGATCAATGTAAAACTGGCTTGATCAAGTCATAATCTAGTAAGATGCCATCACCCTAAAAGGGCCGGATTTCAGAGCTTTATATAACGCCGCGGGCAGTTTGTTACTCGCCCGGATGATCCTCAGTGGTCTGGGGTGCAGGCTTCAAACCTGTAGCTGTCTAGCGACAGAGTGGTTCAATTCCACCTTTCGGGCGCTGGGCCCTCTTTTTTCCCTAGTTTTGCAATGTTTGTAAACCCCGCATGGGCTTAGGGCACACTTCTGCACCCTGCGTCCCCAGGGACCCCTGCTCCGTGTGCACCTGGGGCTTGGCAAAGACCCCTGCAGGTCCCTGTTTCTGTCTAGCCTCCGCATGGGACCCTGCTTTTATTTGTGTTTTCTTTTGATTAGCGATTTGTGCAGGGAAAGTGCGAGCCTCCACGAAGACCAGGGGAGGCATTGGCTCAGGGAACAGCGGACATGCTCCAGGCCAGGGTCAGGGGTCCGGGAACAGCCCCTACCTCCTCTGCACAGGACCTGCGGTGTCTACCCCTGCCAGCCCCTTGTTGACATCCAGTCCCCGCTCCCAGGCTCCCAGCCCCTCCCGTGCACACAGACCCAATGCCCCCTCCTCTAGGAAGTCCACAGGCTCCTATGCCGAGTCAGATTCAGCTGCTGTGCCCTATCCCCGCTCCAGTCAGCCCTGACCTAGGAAGACGGGCCTGCTTCCAGTCCAGCTCCCTGTTAATTTGTGTTCTGGGAGTCCTTGGGTCCCTGCTACCCACTTGGGGTTCTGTCACCCCGATGGGGTTCCCAAGTGCTGGCTTTGTCCTGGCTGCTGCAGAATTTTTTTTTTTTTTTTTGGACGAGGGGAATAGACATAATGAACGAGTTCATAGAAGACTTCTTTCTCAAAGGGAAAATCAGAAGATAAAACTTATAGAAACGCTTAGGGAAGTGCTGCGCGTTCTGTACTTTGTAGTTCCAACCCTCTCTTCACTCCTGACTAGACCTAGTCCAGTGCACGTTCATGTACCCACCATGCAGGTGGGCAAGGCACAACGGCACCGGTCTTCAGGGTATGCTGTGGCGCGGGGGGCACATGCCTGCAAGTGGTGACAGTCCGAAGACAGCTGCCACCCCGCCATCCATCCTGCCTTTTTTGCTGGTCCAGCCCCTTCTCTGGCTCCATCGGACATCCCGGTCACTACAAGGTTTCTGACCCCTCAGGGGACTTTGTCCCAGGAAGCTCCCACAAAAAGAGCTTGTGGAAGTCCACCCGAGAGTCTAGCTTGCTTCTGTCCCGCAGCAGGCTGATTCACCTGGAGGTGTGTGTGTTGAGGCTTGGGGGGGGGTCTCCCCAGCCCCCTAACTTCTCTAACTCCTGCTGAAAAGCCAGCATCCTTAGTGAAGAGGCGTTGTGACCCAGCAGGTGTGTTTTTCAGAGCTTTTTTTTTTTTATTGGCGACAGTGCAAAACCAAGTGGGGGAGGGAAGCGGCCCAGCCCCTCCAGGGTCAGGTGCAAAATACAAAAAAAAAAAAAAAAAGAAAGAAAGATAGAAAAAAAACAAAGGAAATCACGAACACAGCAGGGCATCGCCGAGGCCTGGGGAATCCATGAACTGTGGTCAGCAGGGCAGCCCCACCCACAGTCACACACTTGCTCACACCCAGTACTGTCCAGGGTACAAGTCGTGGAAACACACAGCCCCGTGCCCCGGCTCCAGACAGGCGGAGGATGAGGGACGCTCAGAGTGGCAGGAAAAAAAAACAAAACAAAACACGCAAGAGGCGGAGATGCTTGGGGACAGACAGGCTGCGGCTACTTCCCCAAGCGGCCCCACACTCTGCATGCCGGATGGGGGACCCCAGCTGGGCTTGCCGCAGGGTTCACACTCACACACTCACACACACACACACACACACACACACACATATATAATATACTTATTTATACATAATAGATATAAGTGCCTTTCGGAGACCAGGGACGGGATAAATAGCTAAGGACGGGCCTGGGGGACTCAAGGCCAATGCCGGCGACGGACGGACGGACGCGGCGGGTGGAATGTTTCCCATGCAACTTGGAGGACGGTGGCGGTGGCGGCCAGGGAGGGCACCCACAGAGGGTTAAAAAATAAGACATCTGCCTCCGGGTTGACCCTCACGAGAGTTAGAAGGAACGGAGGAACCCGCCAGGGAACCCAGTGGCCCCTACGGGGTGGGCACAGGAGCCTCAGCCCCAAAGGCATGCGGGGTGCCACGGGCTTCCTAGGCTGGGGGTGGGTGTGGGCGTGGCAGCCTTAAAGGAAGAGGGGAAGGCCAGGGCGGCCAGGGCACTGAGAGTCCTGGGCAGACAGACACCCACTCCCAATGAGGGAGGGGAGGCTGCAGGGAGTGGGGGATGCTGCCCCTGGCTCCCTGCGCAAAATCACGCCGTGCATTTCACAGTATCAAGGCCAGGCTCACCCGCGGGGCCCCTGCTGCTGTTACCAGAGACCCAACAAGGCAGTGTGGGTGGCGGGGGCAGGGGGTCCTGGGGCGGGGCACCCGCACAGCCCGGTCCCAGCCAAGCTGGGTGTTGTTCTGGGAGACAAGGATGGGGATGGGGCAGCCGGGAAGGCAGTTCACATTTTAAACTAAGTCTGGGGAGGGGGCAGAGCCTCAGCAGTGTCCCCCTTGGGGGGTCAGGGGCCGCCTAAGAGGATCAAAACCCCTGCCCCTGGAAATGTGGGATAAATAAAGCTGGGGTCTGGGAGGGGAGGGGGCGCTAGGCCAAACCGGTTTGGTTGCTCCCATGAAGGGTACAAGTGGAGAGGCTGGGAAAAGGAGGGGGTAGGTGGGGGTGGGTCAAGGCCTTGTTGGACAGCTCTGGAAAAGCCCCTAGTCCACCCACCCCACTGCCCACTGCACAGCACACACAAGCCAACCCCCAGCCTCACACAGGCTGTGTGCCCCACCTCCCACAACCCCACCACCTGCTCACGCAGCCACAGCGATGGGTGGGAACCAGCGGTAGGGGGCCACACAAGGCACCCCACAACCATCCACACCCTCCCCAGTCCCTGTCCCCAGAGTCACCGGCTCTCAGGTCAAGTCCTGTGTGCAAGCACGTGCAGCCATCAGAGGCAGCACAGTCAATAGGGCGGTCCTCCGGGGTGGGCGACTGCGGCCAAGGGTCCAGCTGGCCATGCCCCCAGCACATCTCCCCTCCCAACTCTTTCTGTCTTCTTCCAAGTCCCTCTGCCTGGCGGGTTTGCTTTGTGTCTAAAGAGTTCACAGAGCGAGCAGGGAGGGCGAGCCGAGGGGGTCGCAAGGCTGGTCGCTGCCGCTGGGGCGATGGGCGCCGGCGAACGCGGAGACCTCCGGGCAGGTGAGAACAAACGAGGAAGTGTACGAAGGGGGAACAACGGGGAAGGGGTCGCCGAGGACGTGAACTTCACTGTGTGTAAAGAGAGAAGCCGTCAGGTTGGGGGGCGCGTCCTGGCCGGTCTCGAAGGGCAGGGGCGGTGGTGGCGGGGGCGGCAGCAGCCAGCTGTAACCATCTTCCTTAGCGGGCGCTGGCCCCGGCCCGTCTCTCACCTCCGCCAGCGGGCCCGGCCCGGGCCCCTCATCGAAGGGGATCTTGCAGCCCGGTTTGTGGGCCACCAGCACAAACTCCAGGCGCTCTTTCTCCTTTTGGAGCTCGGCGATCTCTGACTCCAGTTCTGCCTTTTCTTCCTCCAGCTGATCCGTCTCCTGAGACCCCCAGGGGGGTGGTCAGCAGCAGCGCAGCAGCGGCGCACCACGCAGGGGCAGGGCGGAAGGGGGAGGGAGGGAGGGAGGGGACAAAGCCAGTGAGTGACTGTACAAGTAGGGTTCTCATCCCCCTCCCCAGCGCTGCCCAGGGACCAGGAACAGAGCCTCGCCCCACCCAGGCCCCCGTGGAGCGGGGCAGGTGGGAGAGAAGTCCCCCACTCTGCAGCACACTGCGGGCCATGGGACAAGGCTTCCATGGAGCCTGACTTCGCAGCCCTACAACAGGCCCTGGGGTCCCTGGAAATCCGGTGTGCAGGGAGCACTGCCAGGTTTGTGCAGTGAATGACCAACTGCCCCGTGGCATTTCACACGCTTTCAGCAACTTCCTTCTAATGCTGTCCGCAGCCCCCACACACCGCTCTCTCCCAGAACAGGGAAGAGGAGAAGCTGCCAGTTTCTTCAAGGAATACTAAGTCCTCACCCCCAATATTGCCACGTAAGGGGGTCTCCCACAGGAGTGCCAGGCTAGGGGTGGGGGCATCACCCCTTAAGACTGCTAGAACATGGCAGCAGCTGGGGCAGACCCTCCTGGATGGTATAGGGAGCAATGAGAGGAAGAGATGGGAGAAGTAACGGGAAGCTCCTCTTGGGGAGCCCAGCCCAGGCATCGTCTCAGGATATGGCAAAGGCTGGCAATGCCAAGCCCTGGGTCATCACTGGTGGGGAGGGGCGAACAGGAGCCGACACAGACGTGTGGCCCATCTGAGTGTGTGGCCAGCGCCACCTAGGGCAGCTGCACCTGCAACAGGTCCAAGAAGGGGCAGGGTGGGGGCGAATGGACAGAGATGGGGAGACAGCCCCCTGCAGCAGCAGCACCCTCAGCCCAGCCCAGGGCCCAGCCTCACCGCTTGCAGCCGGTCAGTCAGCTCCCTCCGACGGTTCCGGCACTTGGCAGCCGCCAGCTTGTTCCGCTCCCTGCGAACCCTTCGTTTCTCCTCTTCCTCGGGAGTGAGCTGAGTGGGAGGGAAAGAGGCTTGAGCATGCTGAGAAGCCCATGCCCGCCCCTCTAGCCCCTCAGGCCTGTGCCACCTGCAGCTAGAGCCAGGGGGTGTGACTGCCCCTGCTTCTGCCCCTGCCCACCTCCCAGGCCAACTTCCCAGGTGCCTCACTCACCGTCTCTTCTCGGGGTCTCCTGGGCCGAGCTCGGGTTGGCCGAGTAGGCCCGGGACCACTGGTCCCACTGGTTGAAGGGCCACCGCCACCACTGGTTCCACCGCTGCTGTAGCCACTCAGACCCGGCGTGGAGTAGCTGGTGCCCGGCAGGTCGTAGGGGTCGACAGCTGGGGGCTGCGAGGCCAGGGGCTGGCCCTGAGACTGGGCCATGGACGAGATGAGGGTGGGCTGGACGAGCCACTGGAGGTCCTGGCTGGTGGTGATGGCTGTGACCGTGGGCACGAACGAACCAGGCATGTCCCCGAGGCCGGCGCACTCCTACGGGGTGACACAGCCACACACGGGCGTAGACACACAAACAAAGACACCAACACACACCCGCCCGCCGTTGCACATCACACACACACACACACACCGGCCTGGTGAGCCAGCTCAGGGCCCAGTGGGCTTGCATGCGTGTGTCACCGGCTCCCAGCCACGACACCCGCCCTTCCACTATGCCGTGACGCAGTGGTTAATGAGAAAATTTCTGCTCAACTGGCTTCTATCTCCTCCTCCTCCGGCTTCGGGGGAAAAAGGTTGCCCGGTTCCAGCCGGTGGTGATTCACACCCGGGTTTGGTGACTCTTAGGTGTGTGTGTGTGTGTGGAGGGAGGATGGCGAGGAGGCCGGACAGGGGCGGGTGACAGAACACCGCTCTGGGGGGGGGGAGGAGGGGGACGAGCCACAGTCACACACAGCAGCCACAACACCCCACCCCCACCCCGGAGGCACCGGGAGGAGGGGGTAGAGGCCTTAGGCCCCAGGCACACGCACGCACACACACACACCTGCTCCGGCGAGGTCCCCTGCAGGTGCAGAGGGTGGGGGTCACAGTGTCAGAAGACCCCCGACTCCACCCCCTCCAAGGACAGGGCCCAGTAGTTTGAAAACGTTTCAAGTAACTGCCTCTCCCCTGAGTGAGGCTGATAAGGGACAGTGGAAGGTGGATGCACGGAGAGGGGACAGAGACGCCCTAGCTCGTTCAGGCTGTGCACGAGGGGCGACGGCCGGGGGTCCGGGACCCCAGGACCGAGGAACGTCCATCTTTCCACACGCCGGAACCGCGCGGCCGCCAGCCCGGCGCCGCTCTTAAATACGCTCGCGGGGGGCGTGGCGAGGGAAGGGCTGGCGCGCTGGCCAATCAGCGTCCTGGGAACGCAGAGGGGCGGGGCCCCGGGCCACCTGGCTGGCTGGCCCCGCCCCTGCGGCTCTTCCCGCCGGCGTCCCTCCCGCCCCCCGCAGCCCCGGTTGGCTAGCTTCCGCCCGACCTCGGGGCGCTCCCGGGACACCGGGGCGGAAGGAACCCCGGCGGAGTGTCCGGGTATGCCCCGGAACGGCCACCTCGGGTTCCCCCGCAAACAACAACAACAACAACACCGCAGCACGCGAGCAGACGCTCCGCTAGGCTGCTCTCCACAGCCGGGAGACCGAGTCCGCGCAAACCCCGCGGGGTCGCGGAGAGCTGCTCGTGGCGCTCGTGGAGTCCGGGAGACCGGGCTCGGGCGGCCGCCAACCGGGCACCGGGAGAACCCGGCGCGTTCCGGGGGCGGCCAGGCGGAGGATGGGAACAGCGGGCCCCCGGCACAGAGGAAGAGAACGCTGATTGGCCGCAGCCCGCGTCGCGCCGACCAATCGGAAGGCCGGGCTGCCCCCTCCCTTAGCAACGTGGCCCGGCGTTCCAAAATAGAACGCGCTCAGGACGTCAGGGGCGGGGCGGGCGAAGGGGGCGTCGCGCGCCGTGCGTGCCCCGCGTCAGACGGAGGATTCCAGCACGTCAGCCGTTACGCACGGGTTCCCCGCCATCACCGCCCTCCCCGTTACGTCTCGGCGCAGGGAGGCGGAGGCCGGGCGGACCCGGGTTCGAGGCCCGCCTTCCCGCGGGGTGCCGGAGAGCGCCCCGGCCGCCGGAGCCGCCGATCGCAGGGCAAGAAAGAAAGGACAGGATGCTCCTGGAAGCTTCTGCAGGATTTCTGTTCCCCGCACGCACACACACACACACACACACACCTGCCTCCCCTGCCAGGCTCCGGGCTTGGAAGGTTGGCGGGGAGGCGCCCCGTCCTGCCTCCACCTCAAAGCTCTCAGCGGCGGGGAGCGCGCCCCGGGCCGCCCGCTCCTGACTTCTTTGCAGTTTTGCAAAAGTGCGACCGCTAGTCTTGTTCTCACTCGAGGGGTGTACCCCGCTTGGCTGTCGCCAGCCTGCTCCTCCTCCCCACCCCGCACCCCAAATTTGACAAAGTAGTCTGGAACTGACCTGGGAGGCGGCGGCGGTGGACGGGCTGCCGAAGGAGTCCACCGAAGACAGGTACTGGGACTCGGCGGAGGGCGAGGAGCTGCAGCGGGAGCCGGAGTCGTAGTCTCCGGGGAAAGCTTGAAACATTTCCCTGGGCACAGGGGGGCCCCTGTGACCACGCTGAGGTCGCCGGGAAGCCAAGGCTCTGGCCGGGTGGGGGGCTAGCTCGCTGCGAGTCCGGGGGCGCAGGGGGCTGCACGGGGGCCGCGCCCGTCCGCCGATCGGTCCGGAGCCACGAGCCAAGCAGAGTGGCCGGACAGTCCTCCTCTGGGCGGCGGGGGGGACGCGAGGTGCCCCCTCCGGGCTGCAGGTCCAGAAGCGCCGGAAGGTTGCTGTCCCCCGCCCCCGGCTGGGGAAGAGTCCGTGCGTCCAGGCGGTGGAAGGTCCACGCGGGGCGGTGGAAGGTCCACGCGGGGCGTGGAGTGTCTGAAGAAAGTCAGTCGGTGCTCCGAAAGAACGAGGAAGAAATGTCGAGAAGAATCCTTCGCCAAACTTTCTCCGCGAGAATAACAATCACAACAACAACAAAGCGGAAAAACAAAATAAAAACCAAAACTCAGGCCAGTCTCGCCGGCGCCCGTCCCTCTGCAAGCAGCCCGTCCGAGGTGTCCGTCCCGCGTGTCCCCGCCGCGGCTGTGGCGCTCAGTCTTATGAATGAACCCCAGAAGCGCCAGCCTTATTTATACTCCGGCGGACCCGCCCCCCTGCTGACGTCACGTCCCCGGCGCGCCACAAACTCCCCCAAATTCTCCTCGGTTCTCGGCCGGACCCCGCCATGCCGGGGGAGGGGTCCGTGCCGACCACCGACTGGACCCCCGTGGGACCCTCGGGATGCCGGGGGGCGGCGGGGGGCGGCGGGCTCAGGCGCGCGGCGGGAGGGGATCCCGACCCCGCCCCCCGGAGTTCCTGTGACGCAATTAGCCATATAAGGAGCTCGGCCGGCGCGGCCGAGTGTTTGTTTGGTATCCTAGCAATGACGTCAGAGGGAATCCCTCGCTCGCTTGCTCTCGCCTGCGGAACGCGCTGCGCCTGCGCACTGCCGGGCGCCGGGGACGCACGGGTGCCGGGACTGACCCGGGCACGGGTGAGAAGATCGGGGGCAACCCGGGGCCCGGGAAGCGCCCCCCGCGGACGGCGTGCGCCCCCAGCCCTGCCGCGCACCCTGTGCCGGGCAGGGAGAGCGCCGTCCTCCGTGTGAGCCTGGCTCCGGGCGCGCTCGGACGGGCTGTCCTGTTCCAGGGGTGCAGCGCCGGGCTGGGGCCTGCGACCCCCTCCTCGCACGCGCCCAGCTTCTCCCCCTGGCTCGCCGTGCCAGCTCGCCCAGCGTTTTCCTGGAGTTTCAGCTTTCCCTCTCCTTGCAAAAAGAGGGAATGTGGGGACTTGGAGGGGCCGCGGAGTGCATGGGAGCCCGAGGGGAGCCAAGCGTCCTCCCTGTAGGTCATGCCTGCCGCCTCTTTCCAAATTTACAACCCAGAGACAGGGATGTGCGCGTGTGTGTGATGGGGGAATTAATAATACTAATAGTCGATGCTATGTGTTTCCCGTTCACCAAGTCCCTCTATATGTGGAGGGGTATAGGTAAGCCCCGCACACCCACCCCCGGTGTCCCCAGGGCACTGTTTTTATTTTTTACTTCATTTTGTTTTTATAGATTTTATTTATTTTTATTGGAAAGGCAGAGTTACAGAAAGACAAAGATCTTCCATCTGCTAGCTCACTCCACAAATGGCCACTATGGCCACAGCTGAGTTGATGTGATCCAAAGCTGGGAGCCAGGAGCCTCTTCCAGGTTCCAAGTCTTTGGGCCGTCCTGGACTGCTTTCCCAGGCCACAGGCAGGGAGCTGGATGGGAAGTGGGGCAGCCAGAACACAAACCAGCGCCCATATGGGATCCCAGTGTTTGCAAGTGGAGGATTAGTCAGATGAGCCATTTCGTTGCCACCTGCCTCCTGCCACTCTCCGACTTCAGAGTTGAGCTCTAAGTCGAGGTTCTGTGTGTCAGAGCTGGGACTTGGATACTTCTCACTCCACAGCCCCCCAGTTCTTAACCACTCCCCACCCACGTTACCCAGGGTGCCAGCAGCTGCCTCTGAAATCCAGGGTTTCCTAGGATCCAACCTGGCCCAGCTCCAGAGCCAGGGAGGGCCGAGCTGAGGGTCGCCAAGTGGCTCTGACACTGAGCAGTGAGTGGCAGTAGTGACCTGAGTCCCAGGAGCATCGTGACTCCCCACCCTGACCACTGGGAAGGGACCAGGAGACGGAGGCTGGAGGGATACGGGGTGAGCAGGGACAGCTAGGAGACAGGCACCCTTACACAGGCCCAGCCTCAAGTCTACCCCCGCCCCCGTGGCCCTCACGCCCCCTCTGTCTGCTCCCAGTCAGGAGGAAGGGACAAGGACTGGGAGATGACACAGCAACCACCAGCAGTGACTCGGTCCCAGGATCAGACAGGGAGTGACCCTCAGCACGCCGTCCCACACAGGCCCCTCAGTGCCCCTGGCACAGAGCAGGGGAGACCCTCCGGCACCTGCCTGGCCTGCCCAGTGCATCCTCAGCACCTCCGGCCACAGAACCGCCAGCACAGACTCAGCCCACGTGGCCACAGGCGACACTCAGACACTCGCTTACCCACAGCAGTGACCTGTGTGGCCACACGAAAATAGCCTTGCAGACCCACACCTGTACTCAGCCATGCACCACCACCCATCCCAGGCCAGGCTGGGATGGACCTCAAAGTGCACAGGGGACCCCTGGGCTGCTGCAGTGATGAGCAGGTAGGTATTCTCTCTCTCTCTCTCTCTCTTTCTCTCTCTCTCTCTCTCTCTCACACACACACACACACACACACACACACACACACAGCTCTTACAGAGCACCATGGTCACCTTTTCACAGGACAGCGACCAGAGTCAGTTCTGCCCAGCACTTTCACTTGCTTCATTCTCAATTTGGGGATAAGAACTTTCTTTTTAAGAGCCCTTAGGGCCGATGCACGATGTAGTAAGCTCATCTTCCACTCACAAAGTTGGCATCCCACATGGGCACTGGTTCAAGTCCCAGCTGCTCCTGGGAAAGCAGCAAAAGATGGTCCAAGTGCTTAGGCCTCTGCACCCACATGGGAGGCCCAGGAGAAGCACCTGGCCCTTGGGTCAGATGGGCTCAGCTCTGGCTATTGGAGCTATTTGAGACACTGGTGAATGGATCTCTCCTCTCTGTCTTTCAAATAAAAGTAAAAGTGAATCTTAAAAGAAAACAAATAAAAAAAATGTTAGGGCCAGCTCCATGGTGTAGTAGGTTAAGCCTCTGCCAGCAGAACCAGCATCCCATATGGGTGCGGATTTGTGTCCAATTCAGCTCCCTGCTAATGTGCCTGGGAAAATAGCCAAGGATGGCCCAAGTGCACAGGGCGGAGACCCAGAAGAAGCTCCTGGCTCCTGGTTTTAGACAAGCCCAGCTCCAGCTGTTGTGGCCATTTGGGGAATGAACCAAAGATGTAAGACCTCTTTCCGTCTCTCTTCTCTCTCTGTAAATCTGTCTTTCAGATAAAATAAACCCATTGCTTTAAAAAGTAAAAAATCAGATTTATTTGTTTATTTAAAATGATTACAAAGAGAGAGATTTTCTATGCACTGGTTCACTCCCCAAGTGGACACAGTGTCTGGAGCTGGGCCCAGCCAAAGTCAGGAGCCAGGAGCCTTTTCTGGGCCCCATGTGGGTGCAGGGCCCCAAGGCTTTGGGCCGTCCTTGACTGCTTTCCCAGGCCACAGGCAGGGAGCTAGATGGGAAGTGGAGCAGCTGGGACTCGAACCAGCACTGCAGGTGACAGCTTTATATGCTGCACCCAAGTGCCAGTCCCCAAGAACCCTTATTTCACAGAGGTGGAACCCGAACCCGAGGGGGGAAGTTGGTCAGCCAAGGCCACACCGCAAGTGGAGTGGCAGGGCTGGGAGCTGGTTCCGCTGCGACATGCATGTCTGTTGGCCGGTGTGGACGTAGGCTGGGCAGGCGTGTGCGAGGGTCCAGGCAGGCTGGGCCCTGTGAGCTGGGGTGGGTCCAAGGCAGGCCTGGGCATGTGTCTGTCCTCCCCTCAGCCAAAACCCCTGCTACCTTGTTCCTCAGTTTCCTTGGCTGCCAGGCTAGGAGCTGGCACAGCGGGAGGAAGGCAGGTGTGTATCGTCCTGCTGAGTCCAGGTGACCTCTGGCAGGTCACGCCAGGCTGTTAGGGTGTCATTACCTGCTTAACGGAAACCAGCATTGAGCAATGAGTGACACTGACCGGCCGGGCCACTTAGGGCAATCCTGGAGGCCTTCCAGAGGGGGTGTTCCTGGAGTTTCATGGTAGCGGAGTGACCCAGATTGTGGAACTCTTAGCTGGGCCTAGCTGGTATCCCTGTTATCTCCATTCCAGCTTCTCACCAGGGCCGGTGAGGGCTGGCATGACTGCTGGAGCTGGTGACCTCCACCTTGGCTCCATCTCCCGTCCCCGCTGCAAATGCCTGGTGTCTCTTTCACCTGTTTTCAGGCCTCGGCATGAGCCTGCTCTTTGGCCCCCATGCTTTTCTCCAGGGTTTAGCCCTATATCCCCTCCTCCAGGAAGTCCTCCAGGTTCCGACCAGTGTCCTTACCCAGGAGTCTCCTTGACCAGCTCTGCTACTAGACACAGAGTCGCCTCTTCCTCACCTGGGCCTTGAGTCCCATGAGGGCTGGACTGAGGCTGTCCTGGTCACTGCTGTGTCCCCAGCATGCTTCCAGGCACACAGTAGGTGCTTAAATATCTCCTTAATGAAGTCAGAGAGCTTAGAATTGGATTCGTTGCCTCCCTCTCCCTAAATACTGGCAATAGCCCTGCGCTGAGGCTGCAGGTCTACCCAGGGCCAGAGCACACTTGCCACAAACTTGTATGTAGCAGAATGCTGGGATACTAGTCCCGGCTTCCTGCTAGTCCTGGGGTGGCAGGGGGGGCAGGTGACAGCTCCAGTTTTGGGGTCCCTGCCACACACATGTGGGGATATGGATGGAGTTTCAGGCTCCTTTCGTGGGTCTGGTCCAGCCCTGGCTGTTGTGGGTATTCTGAAACGTGAACCCACCCGTGGAAGCCGCCCTAACTCTCTTCTCCCTTTCACACGAAAGAAATAAATCATTCATGGCAATGCCCGCTTTGGTAGTGACGGTGAGTGTTGCCGCCGCCATTCATCAGCTAAGCAAACCGAGTCCTGGAGCCCTGCCCGCCCTGCAGGCTGCTGTGGGGTGCAGGAGCGGGGTTTCCCCACGCTGGGGTCCCCAGTGTACATGTGACAACAAAGAGAGGTCACAGCTGTCCCATGGGTTACCGCTGCCGTCTTGTAACTTCGTGATTCCCTGCGCAAACACGCGGCCCCCAGCCCAGCCCCGCTGGCGCTCTCCACAAGCCGCAGCCTCCTGTCACAGGCACACGTGCTTCCTCCTCCGCGGTCGCTGCCCCATGGGCCTCCCTTCCCCCAAGCTCCCCTTCCTGCTGGGGCCTGGCCTGCCGCCGGGTGGTCGCCAGCTGAAGCCCGTCCTGTCCTGAGTCAGGCCCTGTGCCACCAGCCAGGGTGGGTGGGGAGATGCCTGTGGGGTCACGGTCACAG